ATCACCCGATTTCCACGCAACTGTCTCGCGATAATTAGAAGTTATCCGAGGCTGGACGAGTGATATGACTCACCGTGTCCAATCACCGTTTCCAGCGCGTATAGCATCGCGCCATCAAACGTCTCGATGAGGCCTACTACGGTCATCAGGCAACGTTCCGCAAATAAACCAGCCTCGAAATGACAGACACTCGACGCGACTCGCGGGAACTGGGTTAATCCGTGACTCTTACTCCACCGATTAAAACGGGGGAAAAAGTAGAAAGCCGGTAGTGTAAGTTGAATTGCGGCCGGCATTCATTGGACGGAATTTAATTGCAATTGAAACGCGACGGTCTGGCGGTCGATCGCGTGTGTCGGCCGATGATGTAAACCGTTTCTAAGCAGCTGGGCTGCCACCATGGCCGGTGGTTAGTCACCAACGTTAGGCAGCAACGTTTTAATTACTTGATTTATCGCGGCCTATATCGTCGTGATCGCTGCTTATATTGCTGTGAGAGAATTGGCGGAGACCCAATTCTAGCCATCTTCCAACCCCTTGTGACCGCGGTATTCAAACGGAGTGAGTCATTGATAATTATTCGAGATCTTGGAAGATCGGCACACAGCTGCCCGATCAATCTTGCTTGCGCTTGGATCGCGTGTCACGAAGGGGTGAATCGAGGCCGCCCTCCACCCCTCTTAATTAAAACGCCCCAAGAACAAATCCGATGAAAATTTTGCCAATCTTCCTCGTACGTTGCTCGCGTTAATAATTGAATAAATTGGACTTTTTAAATTTTCATAAAAGAGAAGATCCTCCTCTTGCGGATCTTCTTGCAACGTTTCAATTGTCTATATTTATCGTTCTTTAAATATCGCGATATTGAATTTTACTTTAAATACTTTTTATCCTTTTTACAGATAAGTAAACGCATAAATTTCTTACGACATTTAGACAGATTAGATTAGAAAATTTTAAAAAATGTAAAATCAGACGTTCACACGCGACCATTACCATTCGTCCATCCACAGTATGAAGCTTTCGAACAAACGACAACGCTTCCAATCCGCCTCCATCGAGACGGGGGAAAAAATCTCAGTATATCAGTTCAAGACGAGGAAGGTTGTTCAATTCCGGAAGAGGATATTTTCATTCCCTTTGCATCCCCCCTCGCAATTAGAGATGCGAAATCGTATCGAGCTTCAAAGCTTCGTTCCTCCCCCTTCGCTTTTTCCCTTGACAGCCGCGAAAAAAGAAAGAAAAAGAAAAAGAGATGACCGGCTGCAAGCCGTAAATAAGTTTCATATACAGCTGTACGTACCACTGGATTTTTTGTGGAGCGTAGGAGAGCACATGGGCACCGAGAGGAGAACGACGAAGCGCGCGTTTCCGCGCGCGAGCTTTTCTTCTCCAGCTCGGAGCATCTGTGCCGTGCGCTTGGAGATGTAACGTGAGAATGTACGACGATAATAACGCCACGTCCGCGACGTGGGTGACTATAAAACCCTGGTTCGACGCGATTGCAAAACACCTCTGTAAGAGGTCCGAGGAAGCGGATTAAAAACGCGGGTTTCTTCGACAAGGGAGGACGAACCGGTGTAATTTATGCGCCGAGTCGCGAAGGGAATCGTAATTTTTCGATTTCGTCTTTCGCTCTTTTTCGCGGCCGATTTCCGAGTTCGAGCAAAAGGATCGATTTACAACGAAGGAAAGTGAGAGATGGGTGGGACGTGGTTCTTTTTTTGGGGGGGGGGGACGACGGGTAGGAGAGGGATTTTTTTTTTTCTTTTGAAGAACGATGAAAGAGTATCGTAGTGTTGGAATTTTTAATTTGGAACACGATTGTTTGTGATGTTCAATAAATCTGCTGCTATCCATTTTCGAAAGTGCATTTTTTTGTCGCGTTTAAGAATTTCTAGAATTACTTAACGATTATTGAATTAATTTGAAAATCTTAAATAACAATTTGCAATTAAAGCCATTATTTTTTTCTTCTTCTTCTTCTTTTTTCATTATGTTTAACAAGATTTGAGAATTTTTGAAGAGATAAATCGTGTCCAGAAAGTTAATAACCATTAATTCATAAGTTTTCTAATATTTTTGTCTTGATAAAAATCGAGTGGAGAAATTACTTGCTCAACGTTTAATTCTCCTTTTCATCATTACTATAAATAGAAATTTTGCTATTTTAAAATTGATCGACGCGCGTAAAGAATTATACAGGTAATTCAATGTCAAGCTTGTAAAATCTTCGATTCTTCGTCGAGCCAACTTTGCTTTGTTGGATAACAACACCGCGATTTATTCGGCCTGTGCGTTAACCAATTCTCGAGAAATCTCGATTTTTCGTCAAAGTTGAAACATAAGGCTGTGATACGATTTAACTCGAGATTCTTTGTTGCGTACTTGTTAACACCGGATCATGTTTTCGTACAATTACGCATCGTAAAAAGCGTCTTTTCTCATTCTCCTCGCCTGTCTTTGCCGATTATTCGAATAATAAAATAGTAGTTAACCCGCAGCTGAACCTTAAATTGGTTTTCACCATGGCCCCGAACGAAACAATTTCGAAGCAATTATCCACCGACACACCGTTCGATATCAGAACAGGTTGTACGAGAATTCGTTCCACACCTCGTCCCTCGAGAGATCTTGCTCGTATTTTTCTCTTCCATTTGTCGAGAACGAGTAATGTTTGTGAAATAGTTGAAAAAAAAAAAAAAAGATATCGTACATTTTTGAAATTTTTAGAAATTACAATGTTTCGAAATGTTGGACGAATTGATGTTTAAAAATTTGGAAAATTTTCCCCGAAGGAACGTAAAAATTAGAAAAATTAGAAAAACTTTCAAAGATCCTAAAAAAAAATGAAAAAAATATTCGGAATGTTTGCAAAATTTCCGAAAACTACTTCTCCAAAAACTTTAACAGATAATAATTCCTTTATCAATCATCTGATAAAAACATCTCTTTGAAGTGCGCCGAGATACCTTATCCTCGTATATATCGTTTCGAGATAAATATCTCATCGAGAAGAAAAGAGAGAGAGAGAGAGAGAGAACAAAAAATTCGTTTAACTTACTTTTTCTCGCGCCGGATCGTTCCTCTCGATCATTACCTGGACCTATGGTGGGCCGATTACATTGCTTCGTAAATACGGTCCAAGCGTCGAGAACTGCAAGAAATTTAATAAAGTCGATGAAAAATGAACGGGCCCTCGCCCCGGTTCATTTATCACGGCTATTTATCGGTGCCGAGATACACCTCGATCAACGAAACTTTCCAAATTGTGCCGCGAGGTTAACTCACCCCGTGGGACAAGTTTGAACCGGCTATTCGAAGGAAACTCCTGCCCAACTTCCTTCGAGGACCTAATAATCTCGAGGAACTGTGTGTACACCGACACCAGCAACGAACTTCTCCTTTCCTTTCGATTCGAGGCGACCGACATTTTCCGTCCTTTCCCATTACTTGGATTATTCCAATCAGGAATCTGTGAAAAGTAAACGATGAAGATCGTTGAACGAGGAAAGTGTTATACGTATTATAGGAAAGGGAAGGAAAGGAGAGACTGAAGTGGAAAAAAGTGTCTTTTTTTTTTGGATCTGCGAGATAAATATCGGTGAAAAGGGAAGAGTGTTATGTGTACATGGAAAGAGAGAGGTTAAAGTGCAAATGGTGTCTCTCTTGTTGGATCTGGGTGAAGAGGGGAGTGGAAGTTGAACGATAAAGATCGTTGAATGATAAGTATGTTGTGCGTGTGTATGAAGAAGAAGAGGAGAAGTTGAAGTGCATAAAAGTGGCGAGAGAAATAATTTTAAATAATTTTATTTGGGAGGGCATGCAGTTTACAACCGGCCAATGCAAATCCGGTTGGAACAGTGCCAGAAAATGGTGGAAACATTATGCGGGGGTCGTTTTAAAGGTGAAAGAAATGCGATAAACGGATAGGATGGGAGTTCTTCCAAGATCGCGCGATTGTCGCTCCATTTGCTTGGATATTAATCTCGAGCTTTTCTTTCTGGGTCAACCCAGAGCGAGGGATACCGCTGTGATATTTCTTCGAGATTTCTAATTTGCGAGGATGAAAGTGGAAGATGACCGTGGTCGTTGCTTTCTTTGTGGGAGGATGGATGACGTTAATTTGGAGGATACTGATAAATGTAAACTTGAAAATACTTGATTTTTGGAAGAGTATTGAAGAAAAAGTTGGTTATTGTTAAAAACTAATTTATTAATAATTGATCGAATATATATTTTATATGTATTCTTTCCGATATCAAAATGGTGTATATCTTTTACTTTGTATAAACGGATGAAAGAATAATCCTCTAAATATTTAAATATTTAATCCAACACTATCATACTATACCAAATAAACCAAGTATTTAAATATTATATAAGTATTAATACATTAAATTGTCATACCTATTACAAGAAAAATTATACAAAATATAATTCATAATCTATAGATATACGTTTAAAATTTACAAATTAATCTTATACTATATATTCGTAATCATATTTTTTTCGAATACATCGAATAAACTTCACGAAAATTAATAACCAATCTGAATGAAAAGAATTAAATCATTCGATCCATTCGTATTCTTCTCCAACGTATTCCCAGATACGTCCACACGCTTGAACCATCCATTTAACGTGGATCTAGCCCATAAACCGATCGAATATATACTTGCTAGGAACGATAACGTAGTTCACGCTTCACCCTTGTCGCGAGTGCTCGTTCATCACCGCTAAAAGCCTATACCTTATCGAGGCCGACCGATAAAGGGATCACGCCTACGCTGTTCCCCACGAAGGTCACCCATGCATGCGCTCCTCGAGGCCTGCGGATCTGTGGTGCAGGTGAATAAAAGGCCACTTAAGCAAGCCAGTTCCTCGAATGTTCCTCCACTCTGGCCTTCCCCTCTGGCCTACCCTTCGCCGACCCCCTAAACCAAACTTCTAGCAGTGGAATGGCGTTGCTAAGCGGTGTTTTCCCGATTCTGTTCCAGCATCACATAAAATTGAGGCACGAGAGACATCGTCGACAACATGGGGAGAACTATCTGCCCAGCAGTTTTGTGCTGGACACGGACGAGGCTGAACGAGGAACTTGGGGGCCCTGGTCGTCGGCCAGCTCCTGCTCCAGGTCGTGCGGCGGTGGTGTCGCCCATCAGACCAGGCAGTGTCTTGATATTGAGTGAGTATTAATCATTTTTCTTAGTACTCGATCCATGTCGTTTATTCTATAATTTTCCCCAAATTGTTTCGCTTTATAATTTTGTATAACATGCGTATGTTATATCTCACTCGAAACATCATCGTAGATGTAATTATAAAATTCTTCATTGACAATATATTCGCGTTTTAAAACTGGAAAAGAAAATATTTCAACGGAATTAAATATCCAGCCGAACTGAGAGTATCGAGAAAAAAAAAAAAAAAGAGGATAAAATTACAATGTCTTGCACAAGTTGCTAGAATCCTCTTCTATTTCCATGATCGCGTGTTTAATATTCACGAGGTTTTTTCCTCGCATTTACAATTTTCTTTTAATATTAATTACGGGATAACTGGAAGACGGTGTTGAAACCGCCCCAACTCTCGTTTCTCGAAACGTTTTCAATCCGTCGCCCCTCCCCCCTCCCCCTCGCTGAAAATTAATGGAAAATTAATTTTTTATCCCATCATTTCTCGGTGGAGAGAGATGGGTTTGCACAAATTCAATCCGGCCTTGCCGCCTTGAATTTCTCCACGCTTCGAGGACTTTTCCGCGGGTATTTTTTGACGGGGGCCAACTTCTTGCCCACCAAGAATCACGGTAAATCCTTCTTATCTGAGGCTTGCTCCCGGCCAAGATTAATCGCGGGCGCTTCCGGTTCTGTCGTCTTTGAGGAGGCGACGACCTCAAAGGATATATTCCTTCGGTTGGAAGGACGGGAAGTGGCTGGTTCGCGAATTTCGTTACGTAAATGAAATACGTGGAAAGGGGGGAAGGGGAGAGAAAATCGTACGAGTGGAACGATCTAACAGGTATCGAAGAAATCGAGAGCTAATAACACGTTCGAGGGAACGTGAAAGCTAGGGCTAATCGTATCTCGTGAAAGCAGCGTTTGGAATGATCCGATACAGAGGTTTTCAATTCATCCTTTGTGGATCCTCGCGGTGGATAAATATTATATTATATCGTATTGTTGCAGATTGTTAAAATGACGGAATTATTAATGAAACTGTTTATTTGGAAACGGTTTATTGACCAAAATTTGATCGTGTTAGTTTGTAGGATGGATGTTCCGTGTTTGACGATTGGGAAAAATATCGAGTTTAATTTAAATTTATCGTTATTAAAATTTGTAAAATTGATCTCTGAATTCTTATTATTTTTATAGTATAATTTATATAGGAGAAAAATAATTTTTTTTTTTAATGATGCACAATATTTTTATGATACATATAATTAACTTGATAAAGTTGTATTTAATTATTTTTAAAACGAAATATTTAATTACCGTGTTAAGAATGAATTTACATATTTATAGATCTTTTTATTACGCGTGCAACAATCTTAGTTTAATCCGATGTACAAACACGCGAGACTTCACTCTCCAATGCATCTTCATTTATTTTAGAGAAATTAATCAATAGGTGAGTTGTATCAATTTAACGAGCTTTGGGATTTAATGACGTAGCTTGAATAATCATGGCGAATCCTTAGAGATACGTGCAGATTGAGAACCGCTGAGATAGAGAACCGTGTCGTAGGTCAGGTTAATCGCGGTGCATTACGGTTCTTTTCAGTTTACGATCAAATACTCGCGATTTCTCAGAACTAAATTTCGAAACAGAGTTTCTGCGTAATTTTAGATAGCACGAGGTTGATTAATTTAACGGGGGATCGATTATATTGGAAGGTGGCAAGGAAATTGCGAAAGTGTTTACGATTCTTCTGATCGAATATATTGAAATTCGTCGGCAACTTCATAGAAATAATTAGTGATTCGTTGTGTCAAAAAAATTAATAAATAATTCATAATAAAAATAATAATTATCGTTCATTCTCGGATTCATCAGATGTATGCAATTATCCTAGTTTCAAATAATAGTTTCAGAAATTGTGTCATCAACACGATTATTTACAAAATATTTTAATCCATCGAAGAGAAATTGAAAGGAAATTCAATTTAAAGTATCAAATATTTCCTACAAATAATTTTTTTTCCCGTTTCTTCACTCTCTCTCTCTACACAGAAAAGAATAAAAAAAGATATCTTTTTCGAAAGTAATTTTCAAACCTGCGTTTTAAAAATCCCAGCGAATAGTTCAATTGATCCGAGCTGTGCTTTAAACTGCGCTTTAAGTGCATTAAAAACTGATACGTTACATTCGTTTCACGTGATTTCCAGTGTGAAAATTTCATTCGGAACCGATCGAGGGAGCGCAATTTTCTCGAAAGGATTGCGCGCGAATTATTTAAAAAGCGAGACGGGCGGTGAATCGCATTTTTCGCATTTTTCGACGTCGCTCGTTGGCGGTTAAAAAAGAAGAATTCTTTCTCGCCCCGTACTTCCTTCGAGTTCCTCCTCGAAAGAAGCTCGTTAACGAGGAACCACCATCGACCAGATTTAACGGAGTGTGAATTTCCGATAGATAGAGATAGAGGGCCGCCATGCTCTCGTTTGATCGTTGGATCTTTGACCGAAATTCGAAGATTCGAATGGTATGGAGAAATATTATTGGCAATACAAATTTTCAAATGGAACGGAGACGATTAGGTTTCAGATGATAGAGATTCTAAGCCGATTAAATTTTGCAGGGAAAAAAAGAGGAATTAATTACTAGAATATTATTTTATCATTGCAGCGACAATGGGTACAGCAGGTGCACCGGTGCATCGAGGCGATTCTTCTCCTGCAACATTCAGGTAAGCGAAATAAATGTGGCATATTGCATAATTCATGTAATATTGCACGATGATGATACGTATGAATTAATTCATAAAATATTAAATCCAACGAAATTTACTAATGATACGTTCATAATTTACAAATCAAAATTAATTTTTAATATGTTATTTTAAAATTTATCTTGATAATTACTGTAAAGATTCTCCAAACTAGTTCTCTTCATTTGACTAAAGTAGTAGTAGTAATACGATTTTACTTTCTTTTTTTTTTTTTTTTTTTTATATAATAGTAAATATGTAGATCAATTATTTAATTTGTAC